AGACATAAATGTACTTGAAAGAAAAACTTACATGTTTTTTTACATCACTAGATGCTTTTGTCATAAATTCAGCAAGCTTTAGAAGTATCTTGTGCATGTAGACAATGGACCTGATCCCGATATTTTGAAATAAACCAGCGATGACAGGTAAAGAATGCTCGTTTGCATGGGTACTGAGAATTTCTAAAAGTGCATCGCATAAGTTTTCCACCATTTTTGTTTCCTCCGGTGCAACAATGTTTTCATCTTCATCAAAAGATACACCATCAAAGATATCTAAACGGCTCAACTTTTCCTTTAGAATACTTGAAGCCCTTGTAGCAGTAGCATGATCAGATGTCAGAAGACCTAAAATTAAGCACATGCAAAATAATATAGTCATATAACTAATCATATCAAGAAAATATATATGATATCATATCATATATGTCTACCTGCTATACGACAAATGATTAAGGAATATTCACTAATCCACTTTTTTGTTATTATTACAGTATCTATCGGTGTAAGCTCGGATTCATTTTCAAAGTATTCAAGTAGAATCTCCATGAAATCTAAAATACGCCTCATCACCATTGAGGACTTGGCTCCTTTAGGTAATGCTCGAATTGCTTTTGATGCGAAATTTGGTGGTAAATCGGGTATTAGGAATCTCATCACATCCATCATGTGAAGAATGCATGGATCTACTGTATCCGCTGAACTTGATTCGTCTATGGGTAAAGACACATGGGAAGTGAACATTTGTAGTACCAATTCACTTGCACATTCTTTCACCTTTTCGGATTCAAAAGAACGGAAGACCTTCACAGCACAAATCTGAGCAGATTTTCTAACCTACAACAACAGAATAAACGATTTCTGAGTCGTATATATATATTTATAGGTAATTATTTGTTGAAAGAGAAGCAAATCTTAATATTTTACAAAATGTTAGTTTCTGTAGATATATAAGAGCACATCAACAAGCAATACAATGTGTATGTATATGATTGTGTGTGTTCTATAGCTTATAAATGTATAAAATTATTTCATATAACTTTTGTATGAAATGTAAATTCATACCATAACAAGTAAAAATTTGACATTTCTCCCATTGTGATTATTAAAATTTGTTTTTGATTTGATTTTCTTCATGATTTAACTTTTAGTTTAGTAAATTAGGAAAATTTTGTATAATTGTTTAGTTTATCCAACTTCATGTTTGTGTAGTTTTCATTATTTTTGTCACTTTGCTTTAAAAATTCTAATGTGATAGGATAATTGTTGTTTTTGCTATGAAGAATGCATGCATTTTTCAAATTGTATAGACCTCAAAAAGTATCGATTTCCTCTGAATTGTTTGATGGTTGCATTTTGATTCAACAACTTATTGGCATCCTATCACTTATAATATTTCTGCCTTGCTCAAGCTGTAAACCATGAAGATTATGGAAGGGTAGTAATTAAGTTGTATAGAACAAAAAAAAATAAAAAAAATAAAAAGTCATTTAAAATTTATGCTGTATAGTTTTAGTAGAGATAGAGGAGTAAATTGAATATATCTACTACTAAAACCATGAGATGACAATTTTAAAATGTAGCATGCACAGAGAGTTGGAATAGGTAGAACAATTAAATACCTCCAGCCGTGTATGAGTTGAATAGTAGATAAGCGCCTCGACGCCTAATTTTATAGATTCCCAATTGTCCAAGTCACACAACTTCAGCAACCAAGTCAAACACTCGACCAAAGTGCTATCACTCGTAGCCTGCAAAGCCTTAACAACAATCTCCATAGCCTTAGTCGCCTCGGACTTGGTTATAAACTCCTTAGGAACCCGAGGCAACACAAACTCCAAAAACAAACACATCGCAGACACTGAGTCTGCACCGGCGTCATAGTTTGTAGATAGGGCGTGAATGATATTTTCGAGGTAAGATTGGGGAGTCGTGAGCCGATATCCAGATCTTAGGGATTTGCGGGTACGCGTAGCAATTTTGCAGAGTTTGACGTGTTGAGGTGCGACGGATTTGCCGTAGCGGCCTAAGACTTGGTCGCATATATCATCAGAGTGTGGCCGTCGTTTTTCCTTACTCGTACTGCGCGTTTCAATTTCCATCGGGAAAAAGAAACGAAATCGAGAAAGACGGACGAAACCCTAATTGCAGGTTTGAGAGAGACGAGACAACAAATATTATATCGGAAGATACTTTGACCTTACCCTAACAAATACTCCCTCTCTTTATATATAATGATATAGCGTACACAAACGATATATGCATGGCGGATTTAGAGAGGGGTCACGTGCCCCAATAACAAAAAATTAGTTAACATATAACCTATAATTAATATAGGGAGAACCCTTACTAAATTACATCTAAATATCATATTTGTCTAGTCTAACGTCTAAATATCATATTTATCCTTTTTAATTCTTTAAATATCATATTTATCCAAAATTATTTTTTTTAATAGTTTTTAATATATTCCTATCCTTTTTTATATTTTAAAATTATTAAAATTGAAAAAAAAAATATAATGGACCATATTGCCCTTAGCTTCCAAATTACGAGCTATTAACAAGATAATTAGATTTTAGTATATCATCGACGTCTTCCTCACTTTCATCGGACTTTACCTCTGGTCATCTTCCTTCTTTCCCTCTAACCATCTTTCTTCTTACAATCGAGTATAAGCAGGTAACTGTCTTTTCTTTTTGCCCTTTTCCCATCTGCGCTCATGATTTGTTCAATTTTGTGTTTGAATGTGATGATATTTATGTATAATCAGGTATTCCCCCAAGAACTCAAAGTTACAGATATCGAATCACTACAAAATGAAGACTTTTTGAATCATGTTTTCTATGAATGCAAAAATATATTGCCTCAAGAAGCAGCAACAACTGAATCATCACCATTATCTAAAGTCCTACGTTTTTAGTTTACTGATTACACAAATGAAAACACCACTGCAGAGGAGCACATTCATCCATCATGTCAAATCCCAAAAAGCATTAGCTTTGATAGTTTAATGTTTAAACTCAGTGGATTGGATTTAGGGGCTCAATTCAATCCTATTTTTCAAATTTAGTGAATTAAATTTTGGGAATGCTTATGGTATGTGCTTTTGATCTTTCTGAATTTCTGGTGAATTAGACTTGATGCTGAATTTTCTCTCTTTTGAAATTTGAGTATTCTTCAACACATTTTTGCTACTAGTTTTTCTTCATTTGTTGTAATTATTGAAACCAACACAGAGAATAATGTTAACATGTTAGTATGAATTTAAGTCAATTATTAACATTATAATCATGGTACATGGTGTTGGACCTAAAAGTCAAACTTTTTCTCACTCTTGTCTAATCGAGCTTCTTTGTATCTCTTCTGACTGATTATTTTGCCAAAAACGAAGGGCATACATGGAAGAGCGTTGTGAAAAATCATATTAAAGCAGGAAGACAGCAAGACCGAGAGGTCCGATGATTGTGAAGAAGATGTTGGCAGGTAAAATCCCGCTATCCTGTTAAGAGCTCCTCTGATTTATAAGGCAAGAGCAATGTGGTCCTTTTTTTAATTTTAATGATTTTTTTAAATATAAAAAAATTATAAAATATTAAAAACTATTATAAAACATATTTGGATAAATATGATATTTTAAAAGGTTAAGAAGTGCAAATATAATATTTAGATTTTAGGCTGGACAAATACGATATTTTAACTTTTAATAAGGATATATACGAAATTCTCCTATTAATATATACACGTATTAAATCTGGCCGAAGTTAGCAATAGTGTCGAAAGTGACTTTTAGTAAAATACACTTTTGGTCCCTGTGGTATATCAAATTCGCTACAAGGTCCAAAAATACTAATATTTTTGCATTTTCCGTTCCTATTCACTATTTCTTAGCATTGAAGTTAGGAATAGTAAAACAGTATTTTTTAGAAAAATACATTTTTCGTCCTTGTAGTATATCAATTTCGCTACAAGGTCCAAAAAACAATATTTTTTCATTTTTCGAACCTATTTCACTGTTTCTTAGCATTTTAGTCCCCGAATTACAAGCCATTTGAAGATGAGTTATAATGACCGCTCAAAGTAATGAAAGAAATGTATGTATGGGTTGGATACATACAATTATTTGTAGATTTAATTGTGTTTTATGTTTGAAGGATTTGAATATCATTCGTTGTTGTTGGGTACCAACTTCATCATTAATAGCTATGGATAGACTTAAATGTTAAACATCTACACTAAAAGAAACAAAAAAAGTTAATCATTTAAATTTCCAATATACCCTTTGTAAAACTATTATATTTTTACCAATTGTTAGACATGGTGTTTTGTTGTTAAATCAGATAAACAAACATAAACTTTTTTTTTGAATTATACACGATGTATTTTTGGTAATCTTTGTCAAATATGTTATAACACAATACCAAAAAATTTAAAAAAAGAAAAAAAAAACGACCTGAAGCCCGAATTTTTACTAGTTTTTAGGAAAATAATCTAACCATTTTCTTTTGGGTGATTTTTAAAAAATATAACTTTTTTTTTAAAAAAAAATACCACTTGGTCCAGAATTGGGCATTCTGGAACATATTTTAGACTCATTTTCGGGTGGGCCGGCCCATTACCTTGCCTCCGGAATGGAAATTTCGGACTATCCGTCTGTGTTCCGGATCGAGAATTTGAAATTCAAACTCTGGAATATAATTTGAAAAAATCAAGACCCTCGACTTCATTCCGGATCTTGTTCCGACTTTTCGATCGATTCCGACACGCGAATCCCCGGTCCTGATTCTGATCTCCAACACGCAAATTCGATCTCCACCATGCAACTCCAACATGTAAGAAGACCACTACGACCCCGTTATTTTATGGGTACGTTCTTCACTTCAAAAACCTAGTTTTCTTATTTTTATAACGTGCTTATTCATCTACAATTACTGTTCCAGAATGCATAGAACACCTCCAGAATGCATAGAACACCTCCAGGATGAACTGACAATGTTTCAGAGTTTAAATTACAGATGTCATTGTTGTAGGACCAACTTAAAAGTAGTTAGATGTTTGGGTATTGTTAATTTACATCAAAATGTATTGTTCTGTATGTCATTATGCATCTGTATGCACCCAAGGCATATGTATGTATCTGTATGCACAAAGCATATGTATGTATATGTACACACCCAAGGCATAGTTATGTGTATGTATGCACAAAGCATATATATGTGTCTGTATGCACTAGGCATATGTATGTATATGTATTGAAACCATTTGTAAAAGATTTATAATATATTTACAAAAGGTTTGAAATCCAAGTTTTTACTAATATACAATTGTCCAATATAGTTATATTGAAATATGTGTTGAAACCCTTTACTAATATACAATTGTCCAATATAGTTATATTGAAATATGAGTCGAAACCCTTGAAATATGAAACAGCAATTTATAATATCATATTAAATAAATATTAGCCGTTTGAAGTTGTAAAATTATATCAAATTATACGAAATGAGTATTGAAGATATATATCAAAATCCAATTTATATGAAACAATAGATAACATATAAATAATAGTCATTTGAAAAGGAGTATAGTGATATTTTACGTTGTATAATTGTACGAGTCAAAATGTTGGTGATGTATAACCAAACTCTGAGTTATATGAGACGACGAATAATTTAATATATAAATTATTCTTAGTCATATAAGTTGTATAATTATAATATATACGGTATAATTATACTAGTCGAGTATATAGTGAGTACGACGAAATACAAGTCATATGAATATAGGAATAAGAGTGTTATAAAACTAACAATCTTTATAATCGTTTTTATATACCAAATAATTAGACTTTATATAAAAATACAAAGATTTTATTTTATATAAATCATTAATATAGTTGACATGTATTCTCTCCCGAAAGCAATAAAAGAGTTTAATAGAAATGGGAATCGTGACACTCACTTGATTTGCAGAAACAACAAACACGAACAATTGAAATCATGGTATTTTCTTCTAGCTTGCACTTCGTATTATACCCATATAATACTAATATAATATAGTATGGTGTATGAAGTTGTGTATAATAAGCTTGTTTTAGCTCAATTTCCTCATTTCTCATACAATACATGTGTATTTATACTTGAAGATTACGATTTAAATAAGGTTCTTAATACATCCGTCAGTTTCAACACGTTCTTGGCAGCTCATCTTTCACATGCATCGACTGGGACCGATACGGCTAGAAAGTAGATCAAACTTGCTTCAGAACGTGACCGAAAAGCAATAAAATCACTAGCCATGGTGGTCCATGTGCTCGCACGCGCCACCACCACAAGCCATGGTGGTCCGGCCGCCGACAAAACTTCGTTGATTGATACGTTAACTTGTAAAATCCGTATATTCTTCATACGAGCTCCGTTTTCGACGTTCTTCATATCCATTTGTAGGTATTTCTAATAATACAACTTTCATTTAGTTAGTTTTCAGTAAAAATGAATATGTGTTTACGTATCATTGTATAAATAAAAGTATATACTTTTATTTTAATAATACGACTTGATAAAAAAAATCAACAACTTGTATTATGTAATGTTTTATATTCAACTACTTGTATAATTGTGTTTTATAAAGAAATACTTTATTTTTATAAAAATTCCCATATGGATTGATGTTTTATATATTTCAATTACTCCAGATATTTACCATAGTAAATATTGTATTTTTACTTTCTTGGTTTGATTTTTACCGAACAAATTTACATTTTACTAATGGTATTTTTAAAAATTTTACCATGACTTGTTTGACCATATTTTTAATAAATTTATTATTCAATAATTCAAACACATATATCAGGTCTGTTACATGTGTTTTCAAAACGAAAGAGTTACATAGAAATGATGTTATTTTTACGATTGTCACACATTGACGCTGCATTTAATACCATGACTTTAAACTATCTCGGAGATCCCAGCTGGTACATAGATATAGGTGTCACCTCGCACCTTGCTTCAGATTCATGTATTCTCTCTTCTATCAGTAATACACGTCATTATAATTCAACTTTTGTTGGCAATGATTCATCCATTCTAGTCACTCAAATCGATCATACCACCATTCCCTCTTATGATCGCCCCTTATATTTAAACCACATTCACGTCACACCCGATATCATCAAAAACCTTATTTCAGTTTGCAAATTTACTACAGATAAT